TGTGAGAATTTCAAATTCCTGTGGGCATTATTTCTATCTACCTGCCATGAGTGATGTTTCCTGAGTCCCTAGGCTAGTCATACTGTGGAGTGAGCATGGGATGTCTTAAGTTTGCTCTCAGAGATTATTTGAGGGCATCAAAGTTCTTCCCACCAGCTCTGGCCAGAGGGCATGCCCAGAGCCTAGGGCTGTGACTTACATTTGCCAGCTGAAAGTGATAGGGGTGGAAGACACGCAGGTATTTAATGGGGATTTTGTAGGACAACAGCTTGTCTTTATTTTTATAGTCCATCACCTTTAGGATCACATCTGGAGAGAAAAAAATTAAGCACGGGGTTAGGACAGGGTTTGATAGAACATCTTACTTCCTAGTGTGGTTAGAGAGTGAGGGGTGAGAGATTTTGCTAAGAGCAAGGGGCACAAGCCACACAGAGGAATCATACACATGTGTGGAACACACATGTGCACATATCTCCACAAGAACTGTCTGAGCCTCTGAGCAAGGCAAGGTTCCATGCCAGGTGCATTTAGGACTCCAAAATGTGATTTTCCCCTGTGGCTAGGAAATTCCCATCCCAGGGATGGACCCCAAAAACTAAGCCTAGTTCCCCATGGCAACAGACACACAAGTGCACACAGAGATTCACAAGCAAGCAAGAAGGCCCTGGTCGTAAACACTCCCACCAGCTCCTTAGGATGGGGAAGAATCAACCCCCACATGTTGCAGGTGAGAAAACTCAATAAGGAAAAAGTGATCTGCTCCAGAAATCCTTTATGCAACTATCAATAAAAGTCTACTCCAAGTAAATAAAAATTAGTCTCAACACTAAGAATAACACCCCACTTATTAAACACTTTCAAATAAGATAACATTTTTCTCATTAAGTGACATGAACTTCAGGATGAACTTTAAGGAATAAACACAGATGCCCTGGAGATTACAGTGGTCCCACTTAGTGAGTACCTGTATGTACCAGACATTGAATGTGCACACTTTAACCATTATTTCAACAAGTTCCCACCATGGTATTGCCAACTCTGCTTTAAAAATGTATAAAATGAAGCACAGAGGGGTTCTATAACTGAGCCACCATCACACAGCTAGAAAAATGAATGATGAGAAATCTGGATTTGGTGACTCTTGAGGCATCTGGCCATTCTTGGAAGTCTGATTTGAGGAGGAAGAAAATAAGAGAAAGGAGCAAAGGAAGAGAAGAATGGAGGAGGAATGAGAGATATGGAGGAGGGAGGAGATAAAAGAGAGATCTATAGAAAAACAGGAAAGAGAGGATTAGGTGGAGTAATGTGCCTGAGACCCTTGGGAGCCTCTCTTCACGGGAGGGGAAGGTTTCAGTACCAAGGATAGCTGCCAGCCCTTGACAGCTCAGCCAACGCGAAGCTCAGTGCTAAACCCAAACTCAGCAGCCAGGTCACTTGGAGTGGGATGGGTCATTTGGATGTGGGGGTAGAGAAGGAAACCAAAGGCTTTACCAACTGTCCTTCCTTTTTCATTCTTCCCTATAGCTATCCTGAACACACAGAAAGGGAAAGACACCAGCTGAGAGCTGGCTGCATGGGATCCATGCTCAAAGGAAAAGGGCTTTGAGATTGACTGAGGCGAGGGATTTAAAGTCAGAAGACGCAAGTTCCAGTCTAAGACACTGACTTGTTCTGTGATCCTTAGCAAATCACTTAACCTCTCTGAGCTCCATGGACCTGCTCTGCAAAATGTTCATACTTTAAAAGAGAGAAAGAAAGGAAGGAAAGAAGGAAGAAATGAAGAAAGAAGTCCTGTCCCTTCCCTGGGATAGCTGAGGGAGGAGAGTGTGTTTTAAGCTACACAATTCTGTGCAAATGCTCCTCATGACTATTTTCCTGCTTGCTAACCATCTGCAGCTCTCCACGTACTCACCCAGCCCTGGGCAGAGCTCAGCTGGGGGATTCCAGTGCTCTGGATCAAGGCCACAGTAGCTATGGAGGTGGCGGCCCCTCGTGCTCACTCCTGATGGACCTGAGTTCCCAGATCTGCTTGGGATTTGCTGAGGCCAAGCAGAAGAGGAGTGCCCCCATACCCCCATCTCTGGAGCTCTATTAGTCAGATGAGCTGTAACTTGGGGGAATGGACAGCCATTCCTCCCTGCTCCTGTCCACATGCTACAAGCACGCTTCATCAGCTTCCTTTCTGGGCATTGCGCCCTTCCGGCCTCCCGCTGCTCCCTTTGTGTAGCCACAGGCCCTTTCTGACACCCGCCTGCTTTGGCCCTGACCCAGGGTCTGCAGCTCCCCCTTTGCTTTTCATTAACACATCCTTGAGCTACCTCCCACCCTCCTCCCGCCTTTTGGCCTGGCCCCCATCTCCCCCACCCCCACCCCCTGCATCACCACAGCAACCGGGTTCCAACAAGCTACTTCAATCTGCAAAGAGGTGCCTGCCAATATTCCCTGCCTGCCTGTGCTTCCTCCCCACCCTCCTCCATCCCTCCTGCAGTTAGTCCTGCCCCTTCTCTGCTGCACAGATGGACCCCAGGGCTACTGACCTCATCACACCCTTTCCTCTCTTACCCCAGATGTGTACAGCCCAGGTCCACACACCACAACCCCTAACTTCCTCATGTACATGCATGTATGTGTGTGTGCATATGCGCGTGCACACACACACACTCATGCACTGTCAGATGCACACAGATCACACTGTTGCAGCCAGACACACCCATGCACACACACACATACAAAACTCATAGACATGCCTGCCTACAGGCACAGAGACAGTGCATATTCACACACAATACTATTCACACGAACACATGAACTAGCATGCAGGCATCCACAGAGACGTGCACACCCAGGCAGACACGTGTAGCTGCATAAAATCCTTTGCCAATTTTCCTCCTCTTTTGTGTCATCTCAAACCATCACACAGTTTCATGTATCCCTTTACAAGCAGAAAAAAATTCTCTGGCTGGACCTCAAACTTGTCTCCTCTCCTCTCACTGAGGTTCCCCTGCCATTCCCTCTCTCCCTCCCACAGTCTCTAGCAGTGGCCTTTTGCCATCTGTGAGGTGAAAAGGAGTTCTAAGTCTCTGGCAAGATTTTGAGAAGAGAGGTTAAGCCTGTCCTCTTGGGGAGAGCCACAACAAGAAGCCAGCCTGAGGGTCTTCTGATTGGATGAGACCAGGGATGCAGCTGGGTACCTGTAGTCTGTGTGGCCAGTGCGCCACAGCAGTCCTGCACCAGCCAGCCAGTGCTCCTGTGTGCCTAGCCAAGCTGTCACCCAAACTAGATTTTAGATGGGCCCACAGCATGGAAGATGTAAGTATGCATGTGTGTGCACATACACCGGTACCTGGAGGCTCAGTCCGGCAGGAATAGTCTGAGAGGAATAGGCAGGAATAAGTGTCCATTTTAGGGACATTAATAAAACCCAAAACTTGGCTGGATGTGGTGGGGTATGCCTGTAATACTAGCTGCTGGGGAGGTGGAGGCAGGAAGATTGCAAGTTCAAAGCCAGCCTGGCCAATTTAGTGAGATCTTGTCTTGAAATAAAAAGAGCTTGGGGATGTAGCTCAGTGGGAGAGCACCCCTGTGTTCAATCTCCAGTACTAAATAAACAAAAACAAAACAACAACACAAAAACCTCAAATGGCAGCAGCTAGAACCTAGGAGCTCCAGTGAGAACATGTAGTGCTGAATCCAATACTGAATCCTAGGCTCTCTGCTGAGTACTTGAGCTTGAGCCAGTTATTTAAATTCCCTGAACCTTAGTGTTCTCTTCTAAGCAATGGGAGCATCATGGCTCCTCCTGGGAGGTGGTGACTCTAATGATCGATGCATGGGGACATGCCAAGAAGCTGTAATGTGCCATTTCAGTGGGAGACAGCAGTAATAACAACCATGAAAATAATAACAATGGTCATAAAAAAAGATAAGCTTGCATTCATTTATGTGGAACAACTCATTTTTCCAGCAGGCTGGGGAGATGAGGCGTGACGGTATTATGATTTTTTTTTTTTAATGCTTTTAACAGAGCCCAGGGAGGCGGTTCAGGTGGCCTCCAGCTGTGTTGAGTGGGGAGCCTGTTTCTGCCTTCCACAGCTGGGGGTGTGTGTTACAGCCCCTCCCGCACACACCAGCCCACCCAGCCCCCAGCCTCACCTTCTTGCCCTGAATTCTCAGCGAGTGTCTCCACTTTCACTGTTTCCCCCCAGATGGGGGATCTGGTGGGCTCTGAGGTCACCGAGGTGACTGCTTTGGAGCCCCGGTGGTCAGCTTCTTTAGATGTGGTTTCCCTGGGGAAAGAGGGGCAGGGCGAATCAGGGAGGCACTTTGCCTGCCGAGTGCCGGCTCAGGGAATTCACTGTCCATAAATCTGGGTGAAAGGTGGACAGAACACGGAGAGGTCCCCCCAACCCTGTACATAGACACTCATGTCATCCCTCTCATCCCTGGCCCAGTGGACGCCAGGCTTCCTCCCCTCCCCCGCCCACCTGCTCTGGGGACACACCATCTGCTGCCACTGTGCGGCCTTCACTTTGACTCAGACACCAGACACCATGCCTGTCTGACTTCCTGACTGTTCTCAGGGAAGGTCCCTGTAGGAGTCTGTGTGTGACCCTCCTCCTGACCTGACCCTCTTCTCTAGGTTCTGTTTAGTGGGAGGGGGTCTCTAAACAGTGTGGTGGTGTGGTACTCCTCCCAGATGTCCACGCCTCTTGGTCTTCATTTCTCTATGCTTCTGACCCAGATTCCCGAGGCTGCAGACTGGGAACCCATAACCAGGCACCTGTAGCTGGGCATGGGGGTGATAGTGAGGGCTTTGGGACCCTTAAGCACTTACAGACTGTCAGGACCAGGCTGCCCTGGTGAGATGGGAGCTGAATCTGCATCCCAGTGCAGCCCAAAGATATCTGGGTTAGGCTTCCCTGAGATCCAGAGCCATCAGACAGCTCAATGCCAAAGTTAATGTCCTTGTGTTGAAGACATTGTTCTGGTTATTCTGCCAGGGCTGTAAAAGACTGCTGCAGCAATCATGGCGTGAGGTCTCCTCCCAGAGAGCCTACCTCAGGGAGCCACAGCATACATCCAGCAGGGGAGGCAGCTGAACAGATAGTCCCGGTCGCTCCAGGTAGGATGTAAGGGTTTTGTCCTCACCAGCCCTAAGCCCACCCTCAGAGGCCCCAAAGGGAATGTGGGGCAGGCCGTCACCCCAGAAATTCAGACCCAATCTGCTCCATGCATCAGCAACACCAGCCTGGGGTCCTTCTCAGCCCAGCTGTGCCTTTTCTCCAGGAAGTGCTTGGAATTTTCTGGTCTTTACCACTGCCTCTGTCCTTTAGACTTAGGAGACTCTGTGGCCTAGCTCCTAACCATTCTTATGAGAGTCACATCTTGAGGCTCCAAGAGTCAACTGAGGACTCCTGCTCTGCTTTGACTGGGAGGCAGCGTGACAATGATTCTAACCAGCATCCTGCAGCCACACCACTTGGGTTCCGAATTCCAGTGCCACCATTAACTGTGGGACTTTGGGTAAGGTACATAGCTTCCTTGAGCTTTATTTCCTTCATCTGGAAAATGGGGATGATCATGTACTCATCAACAACCTGTAGGGTCGCTGTGGGAAGGAAGGGAATTAAATATGCTGTGCTTGGCACATCTTTAAGTATCATAAAACTGTTAGTAATTATTGTTGCTTTTGCTATTGTTATTGTTTTTGGGGGGATTGAACTCAGGGCCTTGCACATAACTAGGCAAGCACCCTAACCACTGAGGTACAAGCCCCAGCCCTGTTATTACTTTTAATTACTAGTATATAAGTAAAATATAATTCCTCATTATCAATCTATAGCACTGAATGTCCTAGCCTCAGTGACCCTCCCAGGGCCTGCCCCTTTGCTCTGGCCTGATTTCTTTTCATTAATTGAAAACTGATGACTCAATTCTGGTTCTACACCTGGGGATCCCTGGCTGCCCTGGCTGAGTTGTGAAATCCTTTGATAAGCACAGGCTTTGGAGCTCAGAGACCTGGGCTAAGCCCTTGTTTTCCCCAGTGGCTGGCTCCCCTCTGGGCCTTGGCTCTTCTAACTAGTGCCTGCCACAGAGGGTAGTTGAGTATCTGAAGGAAAGCATGTCACACTCTTGGCAAACAGGAGGCCCCAGTTCATGCACTTCTCTTATTTGTGATACAGAACCACCTTGTCTTTTCTCAATGGGACCTGATGGAGGGCAGCATGAGGGGGAAGGAAGGTGAGCCCTGAGGGAGGACTGGGATAGGAAGGATGCAACTCCCAGAGAGCTGGAGACCTGTCCAGACACCACCTGTCCTGTGGGCCCTGAGGGATAGAATGGGCTCCCTACAATTACAGAGGGCTGCTGTGGCCTGGGGCATGTGGGAGGCTGCCAGGTTGGAGAGGTCAAGGCATTGAGCCTGGCAGATAGTGGAACTCAGCCTGCCTCCTTCACTCCTTGGGCCCCTTCCTCTCTGTGGCTAACTGAGGGGTGGGTGCAATATAAGGCCCTTCTCATGCCATCCTGATAGTATACCCAAAGTCAGAGATCTCAGAGCTCTCCTAGGTCCCTCCTGCCCACCCCTGCTCCCTTGTAGCATGAATGCAGGATCAGGCCTCACGGTCTCCCCCAGCAGTGACCTAAACGAGGCAGAGCATAGAAGAGCACACAGGAGCATTCCTGTGTCAGGAGGAAGGAAGGGGTCCTTATACACCCCAGAAGTCACAGAATGACATTAGCTCATCATCCCCCAGGGATATTCAAGTGGCCCTGTATGCACCAGAGAACCAAAGGCGCCAAGTCACAACCAGTACAGGGACAGAATTTGGGTTGGAATCCATGAGCTGTACTTGCCAGCCTGTCTTCCACCCCCTGATCTCTGTGGCCCCTTGCTCCCCTCCCATTCTTTACAGGAGCTCCCGGGAAGTGGGCAGGGGGAATTCAAGGTAGAAAGAGATGGGACTATTTATGGGGCAGGGCCAAGGGCTGACTCTCCTCAGTCCTAGAAGGAGTTAAGTCTCCCTTCCCCCCTGAATATACACACCAAAGAGGTGGCCAGGGCTAGGTGAGGGAGATGGATCTTGAGAGGGAGGCCCCCGGGGAAGGGAAGCTTTTAGCAGGTGGAGGGAGGCTGTCAGGGTAATGGCTTTTCCTGGCACAGCTGATTCCTCTGGGCCTTGATGTGATTCTAGAAACTGGAGAGTAAGAGGGGGCCTCTGATTTCTTACAGAATAGGAGCAGGGAACCAGCTTATGCTCCACTCCCTGCCCCCATTCTGCACCCCCAGCTGAACACATTCCTGAGTTCTAGGTCTCCAGGTCCTGAGTTCCCTCAGGGCTCCCAGTGCAACCTCAGGGCCCACTGGGGCCTCTCCAAGACCTGCATCCCTGTAGGTTGTCTGCAAGGACAGAAACTCCACCCCCCTGTCCCCAAAGCCCTGCCCTGACCCTCCAGCCTGGTGCCAGGCAGTCAGGGGCAGGAAGAACCAACAGTGAGGCCTGCTGTCTGGGAGCTCAGACTTAATTCAGCTCTAGCAGGGTGGGCCTGGGGTTGGAATCAGGGGCAGGATGGGCAGTTCTGGGCCCCAAGCTGAGAGACATCCAGCCCAGCCCTCCACCAGGGTGCAGAGTGGTGTGAAGCGTCTCTGACAAACCCCAGTCTCGGAGCCTGAGATCCCTGGGGCTCACTCCCACTCCAGCAGAAGGTGAGGAGCCAGGCCTTAGCACAGCTGTGAGTGGGAGGGAATGAGAACAAATTTTCTTTCCTTCTGCAAGGTCATGACTAAGGGAAGATGTGTTGTCTGGTTCCCATGTCTGCTACCGGGTGGAGGTGAGCAGTGGAAAAGCACAGGACATGGATGGAGACACAAAGGGAGCTTGGGCACCCCCAGGGGGCAACTCCCCCAGCCCTCTACCCTGCCCCCATTAATCCAAAGAGGTTTGTGTGCTTCAGTGTCATCCATTCTTAGTACCCTATTGGCCAACACTCAAACTGCCTCAAGGTCTCCTATTCACACCTGAGCCACCTCTGCCAGCTGCCCTGCTGGTCCTCCTGGCCCTCTTGGCCTCTCACTCCCCTCAAAACATCAAAACATGCACAACTGTCAAGGTCTGGTTTCCTACCGGGCAGGACTTTGGTAATCTGGGATACAGGCAGGCCAGTTTGCCCCGAGTGCCCATCACAGGGCAGCCACCAGGAGGTCAAAGGAAAGAGAAGGGCCTAAATTCAGGATTATACTGGCTGCTGGGGTCCTGGTTGGGCAAGCTCCCAGGATGTTTTCAGATGCCCCCTGGGAAGGAAATAGGCAGGCACAGAAAAGGATAGACAAAGGGAAGATCTTTAGTTGGAGGGACAGTGGGACAAGAGGTCTTGTGACCCTTTGACAGGGTCCACCATGGCCCTATTGCTGGCCCACCTGAGACACTTAGAGCAAGATGGGAGGATAGGTTCAGACTGAGAGTCCTTTAGGCCAGCAGTTGGGATGTCATAATTGAACCTCTGTCTGAGAAGACAGGGAAATTTTCCTCTGCCTGAATCCTCCATGCCAGCCTCTGAGCCAGGGAGGCCAGCCTCTCCCATCTTCTAGAAGTACAAGAGATAGCCAGAGTCCAAGGCCAGTCCCTCCATCCCTGGAAGGCACTAGAAAACCCAATGACCTTTTCCTGATCCAGAAACCTAGCCTTGTGCAACAGGAACAGGAGTTGGGGTGTTGGCTCTACAGAGAGGGTCATCCGAAGAGGATGGTCAAAGGCTGCATTCCTGTTTCTGAGCCTAACTGGCTGGACCAGTGAGGGAAGAAGGTTCCACAAAGGGGGCAAGACGCACAGAGATGGAGAAAAGAATCTTCTGAACTGGAGGAAAGAGCCTAAGGCTCAGAGCAGGCCAGGAGCTGGTTTCATGCACAAGTCACAGGAGGGACAGTCTGGCTGATCCAGGTTTGGCGGATTGAGGTAATCAGAAGAGAGAAGCTTATGGGCCTCCCTGACTGAGCTCTCTCTCAAGCCTTCTTCCTTCCATGCCCCTTTGCAGTGTCCTCTGAAGCCAGACAGGCAGCAGGGGAAAGTCCTCACACTTTGGGCTTTTTGCCAAGCTCCCCTGGGAATGCTGGGTAGGAAGTTGTACCCAGAGATGCTCAAAGAGCAGACGTACTGAATCCAGAAGGGAGAATCCAGCCTGAAGCTCTCTTCTCACCCTCCCTCATTTTGTCTGGACTCAGCCACCAACAGTGCCCCACTCACCGTACCCCTCCCCAGCCCCACACTGAGGGTAGGCAACTGGTCCTTGTGGACTCTGAGCTCTCTGGAAGCTTCCACTTAAGACATGAGCATGGTGGTTCTCAGCAAAATGATGGGCTCTCATCCTGGGTTTCACTATTAATTGGAGTCTAATGAACCATCACTAATTGCTGATGGTGCTACAACACTACAGGTGGGCCTCAATTTATAGAATAATGGTCTCTGGCACAAGGCAGGTATGAATTGGACACCAAAGATGCCCCATCTGCCTGGGCCTAGATCCTCCCCTTGCAGGGAGGAGTAGGCAAGGGCACATTCCAAGGAACTCTGGTAAAGGCAAAAGTCTCTCTGAAAAAACTTAAATGCCTCTCCTCTACCCCATCCTTCCCCACACTTCACCTGAAATGACCCCAACTGTTCTTGGGGAGCATCGTGGGCAACAAGCAGCCCTGGTCCCTACCCATGGCACTCAGGAAGGTGGGCAAGGTAGGAATAGTCTCCTAGTATGGCCCCAAAAAGAACTGTAGGCCACTTTGCACAGTGACTGGTACAAAGTTAGATTCAGGCCTCCTAAGTTGGACATTGTCACACCTTAAACCCTTTCCTGGAAAGGGAATTTTCTAGTTTTCCAGATTTTTTTTTATTTTATTTTTTCTGTTTGAGGCTGGGGACAGTGCAGGACCAAGAAGAGTCCCCCGTCTATACTATTTCCAGCCTTTGGAGCTCCACACTGGGGTCTACCCTGTGGCATAGCTGGTGAGGGACACTGGGGACCATCTTCTTAGTGGAGGGGGAAGGGACCACTGTCGGTCAACACCACGACTCTATGGAGATGGAATTACAGTGCCCTCTGCAAGGTGTAGGCCTGGGTGAGACAACTCCCAGGATCTCTCCATGATTTAGGGTTCTCTCAACTCATCAGCTGCTCTGCACATCCTCTTCTGAGCAACCCCTTTTTGGTGTAGGAAGTTTTGTGCAGGAGGAACCTGGGCCAGACATGAAGGTGAACTTCCCAACCTCTGAAGGAGGTTCATTCTGATTGTTATTCCTGGCCTAATTAGGATAATATTCAGTCCAAGTTCTGAGGTCTGGGTGTCCCTTTGTCACTCCAAAGAGACCAGCCTCCATGGTGCCCAAGTGCTAGGGGCTAGAGCCTGCTCACTTGCCTTCTGGGGAGATTATGGGCAAAGGACTAGTAAGTAGGGACAGTGTTACCTGTGTAATTGCACCTACTGCTAGACTGTGAGCACCTCAGAGGCAGGGACCTGTCTGGTCACCACAGGAGCTCAGTTTCCAGATCCTGGCCTGGGCCCAACGGGGCCCAGTGAGTGTTGAATAGGAAGCGAGATGGATTGTGGTAAAGCACAGGGAGACAGGACAGCTTGTCCTCTGTGGCTCTGCCTGGCAGTCCCTGGGCCTGTGCTGGGACCTGTGGCAGCTCCTTAGCCCCACCCTGAAGGAGGCTCTTGGCTAGAAGGGGTGCTCAGATTCCAGTGGCTATCACAACAGCATATCTCCAAGGAGGAGGGAGGAAGC